AAAAAAACAAAAAAAAAAAAAAAAAAAAAAAAAAAAAAAGAAAGAAAAAAAGAAAGAAAAATTCAATGTTAAGCAACTCACCCCCTGGGGTCTGCTGGAAGAAGTTAGGTAAGCCTAACTTTCTAGAACCACATGCTTCAGAAACCCTACAAGCCCTGTCCTGGAAGAGGGGCAGTGCCTTGGGGTGTGAGTGATGCTCTTGGGTCTAAAGAAGCCTGTATTCAAGTCTCGGTTTCCAAACACAGGATCCCACAGCAGCCTCGTTACTGGTGCCATGGGATTGCTCAGTTTGTATGGAATCCATTAGAGTCAGAAGTCACTGGAGGTGTGGACTAGAACTCAACAGCTCTGGCTTCCGGGACTTTGACCACCAGCTCAACTGTTGTGGTTTGTTTCAGAGCACCGGAGGAAGATGTGTCTGGAAGGTGGCCTTCCTTATTCAAGAGACACTAAGTGTGTCTCCCCACCCATGCCAAACTTGATAGGCAGATATGGACGTGGGCTCCTACACACCGTATCCCTATGCCCAGGAAACATCACATCACCACAGATGAGAAGACACCCTTGCTCAGGGGGCTCAGAAGACTGGACAGCACTGCCACCTGGTGGCTAGCTAGAGCAGTGTTCGGCTCCCCAGACAGAGAGGTCAGCACTTGGGGACACATCCTCACCAGTCCACAGGCGGCTTAGGCACACACAGGATAACGAGAGCCTCTAGCACAGGGTTGGCAGGAGATGTTTTTGCAGGGAGGACGCTGATGTGCAAACCTCAGCCAGCTGTCTGTGGTTATTCCTGCCTGTGGGTGATTACCGACTCCTGTCCTCTGTCTTGTTGATTGGTGTGTGGGCAGCTATTGACCAAGTTCAGCCATTTGCCAAGGTATATACACATTTTATTTAAAAAAGTTTACAGTTTTCATTATACACAACTATTAAGAGGTTATAGTCAGAGGAGGCATTTGTCCAGGTGACAGACATGCCCACTAGACCATCACAATGCAAAGAAGGTGGGAGGGAGGAGACAGGGCAAGGAGAGGAAAGCGGTAAAAAGCTTAGATTTCAATTAAGGGCTGGTAAGTCCCTTTTATCTCTTCAAGTATCACACAAAGTGTACCAAATACAATCAGTAACTGAAGGCCATTTCTTCCCACGCCCACAGCCAAGTAACCAAGAGCCAGGGCCATTCCTCAGGCAAGTGGAAAGCTGCACTCCTGTGACCCCGGGAGGGCCTTTACTCCATCCGATCCCTAAGAGCTGGCCAACGTGTTCAGTGGCCAAAGGAAGGTGAACATGGATTCAGAAGTCCAAAAGAAAAGCAGTTCTTTGTGCCCAATCAGAAACGAGTTGGTTTTCACTCAGCAAGGCTCTGACCCAATTAGAAGTGGGCAAAACAAAGCAAAACTCTCCGCTAACTTTTGTAAATGGCTTCACTTTTCTGAGTCACTAAAACAGAGAGGCCAATCCCAGTTCTCGGAAAACTGACCCAGAAACTAGACTGGCAGGGGATCTGTCATGATTCTTAGCCACCCCAAAAGGTGGCTTAGAAAATGCCAAGTATTAGGTCAAGGCCAACTTCCAGGGCACAGTTCCTCCGAGAAGATACACCCCTCGGGGGCTCAGATCAGCCAGTTGGCAACAGAACAGCACTTGAAGTGGACGAAAGCATGAGCTGGAGAGATGTGGCAACTTCTGAGGACTCTCGTCAACAGGAGATGCTGGTTGAAGCTGCACAGTCTCGAGGAAGGTGGAGACTGACAAAAATGTCAACTGCTGGGGTCTACGTTGGCAACCACAGAACACGGCCCACTGGCCCCAGCCCTGGGCTTCCAGGGGGCACAGGAACGTGGCAGGTTTGGGCTGCCAGGCAGCAGCCACTTTGCTCGTCAGCGTTTGGCAAGAGCTCCAGTCGTCTGAATGGGGGCAAAGAATGGCTTCCACTGGTAAACCATAAGGTAGGACTTCAAAAACGGTAGGGACAAAGGGCGGGCAAATGCCAGCAACAGCTCCGACTTACTGCTAACCCTCAAAGGAAAGAGTGCTCAGCCTCCAAAGGGGTCGATGCCCCCTTGGGTTATTAGGAGGTACATCCACAGGTAACTAGAGGGTTTTGGTAACCAAGGAGGCAAACTCCAGAGCACATCCATTTATTATGGGGACCTGGAGTCCTCAGAGTCCCAGCCAGACTTTCATTTCTGATCCTTTGCACCCATGGGTATGGTATGGTCATCTAGCCCTACCTCACCAAGAAGCAAGGAAGGGTCAGAAAGCTTGCAAAGCCGACTTCCCAACAGTCAAGGCCCAGAGCGCGGCAACAAGCATGGAGCCAGGACTGGCGCCAGAAGCGGAGGGTAGTGATTGGGGGCCATCATGACCGCCTGGATGGGAACCCTCTGTCCTGGCCTCCAGCCCTGGGCTCTGCATGGCCGTTCTGCACCATCAGTGTGTGCTGCTGTGTGCAGGGGAGGGAGAGGATTCTTGTGAGAGTCAGAGCAGTAGCTGCTCATGCCCATTCCCTAAAATTGACTCTGTCAGGCTTTGTTGGATTCTTTGTTTTCTATTTTTTTTTCAACAAGATCAAAAGCAATCATCAGGACCCCCCCCCCTTTTTTTTTTGGGAAAGGTAATTAGAGTACTATTTTATACAGTATTGAAAAAATACAATTTTTTATTGTTTGAACTCAAAAGTCACCACCCAGCACTTCAAGCCTACCCTAAGTAGCACCTACAGTAAGGTTATGGCATGAGCAAACTGCCCCTCTTCCAGGGAAGCGAGCTGGACGTGCCTGCAGAGGCCCTCCTTCCCCCAAACAGAAGACAGCACGGCAGGTAAGCACAGCATTACAGTTAAAGCTGCCTTCCAACAGGCAGGGTGCCCAAGAGAACAGTACAGTGAACCGACCCACAGCCCCACAGAACTCCATTTCCCCAAAGAAAACCTTTTGCTTCATGCCTGTAATTAACTTAGAATAAGTAGATTATTTGTCTTTTTATTTGGGAAAATAATCATGCTAAAAGTTGGACTTCATATAGATTTTCAAAGGAAAGACTGATTGTGCTTTTTGAATTAAAAAGGAGAGGTGTCTCCCCAGTTCACCGACTTAACCTTATGGAATCCAGCACTCCTACACTAAACACATTGGACACGCACTGCCTTCAGATGCTCTTAGGATTGGCTACTTCTACTGTTCCGGTTTCGGCAAAAAGAATACAGAGCCGGCGTCCAAACTTTCTCCAAATCCCTTCCAGAGTCCGATGGGAACTGCTGGGCGCTCTGGGTGGCAGGTAGCTGAGCAGAGGCTGCAGCGGCAGGTCAGGCTTCAGCTGTCTGACTTGCTGTTCCTGCGGGAGGGACAAAGTGTCCTCCCTCGCAACCTGCCTATAACCTGTCATGGCTCACACCCTCCCTAGTCAGTCACAGAAGAAAGTGGTTCTCCCACCTCAAGCCACTGTGGGTACAACAATGTTCAATTCTTACTCATTGTAAATTTAGGATGTCTTTAAAAAATATTAGGATGTTTTGGGTCTTACATACCCACACTTCCCTCTGCTATAAGTGGTGGGCAACTGGGCTGCTGCCAGGAGCAGCTGCCAGAGAGAGACCCAAGAGATCACAGGACGGCGCAGGCCTCGAGCCTCCAGGCCAGTCTCCCTCCACCTGAAGGTCCACTGAGCGCCTTGTCCAGGGAGGAGACTGTCTCTTGGTAGGTAAAATTAAATCTGTAACCTGCCTAAGTTCAATTCACACAAATAGAAAAATATAAAGGAACAAAAGAAAAGAAAAACACCAAACAAAAACTGCTTCCAGTTTTTGCAGTTCAGTCCAGGGCAGTGGTCTCCAACGGGACCAGCCTCCCCTTTTCTCCTCCAGTCCTGTTCTCTCTCTCTCTCTCTCAAAAAAAAAAAAAAAAAAAAAAAAAGGTCTGGATGACAAGCTGTACCAAGAAAAAGATTTGGGTTCAGAAAACATTCCCAAAGGGTCTTCAAAGCAAAACCAATGTGGCTACAGGTCTGGTTGCACAGAGGGCCAGGAATCTACCTAGAAAAATGCACCTAAATTTGAGTCAAAAAAAAAAAAAAAAAGGCTCTAAGTCTCACTTCTCACCCAACCCATGCCGTCACCCACTGCGGTCGCTCTCGGGAGCAGCTGGCTGCGCCAGGCCAGCTTCACACGCTCCGGAGCTCGCCTCTTCCTCAGCCTTTCCCTTCCACCTGGAAAAGCACTGTTCTGTCTTCATCCAACAACTGGTACATCTGGTTTAATTCTTTGGAACCATCCATAAAAAGAAGCGACTTTTCCTGCTAGTTTTCCTCACGTTTACCTATCGGAGCGGCAATTCTTGACAGCTGAGCAGCACGCAGGCTGGCCTGGCCAAATGGACTTATGAATGCATGCATTCGGACTGCATATTGCTACCGAAATGGAATGTGGGGATATGCTATGCACCTCAGGTTGAGAAATGACCAAGAAATCAAGATCTAAAGGGTGATATATAATATATATATATCAATGCTATTATTCATAAAAACCTTGTTTAGTAATAAAAAAAATTGCTTTGTTTAAATATGAATATTATAGTCTGCTTCTCATGGTTAGGAAATAAGTCTTTCTGAAAAGCAGATGCTTTTCTACTACAACTCCATGTCCTGGGCCTCATCTTCCGAAAAGTCAGACATAGAACTCTCCGACGAGCTGTCGCCAGTGCCCTCTTCCTGCTCCTTCAGGGCCTCCTCCGTTGCGTATTTCTGGATGTACTCTGCACAGGGGAGAAGAAACAGAACATGAGCTCAGGGCCACAGGCACAGGCGTCCCTGCTGCACCAGGAGAAGCTGTCATCATCTCTAAAAGCCACGGGGATTCCAAAGGAGAGGTGACTAGTGTGTGTGGGGGGGGAAACGGGCAAGCACAGGGCAAGCACGTTTGACTTCTTCCCATGTAGAACAGGACTAGTGACTCCCAGCCTCCTCTGACTGCAGCTGTGGAATCACAGCTGGCTCAGGTCTGTAGAGACTATAGGGGTCCTGCCCGCTGGGTTTGTAACAATGGTTTCAGTCTGCTCATCAGGAACAAGCTGCCCTATGGAGGCTCAGGAGTAGCCGGGTGGTTCTTCAATGCATTATTCACTTCAAGATTTCTGCTTCAAGAGCCCAGGACAAACGTGCTGACTGAAAAAGAATAAAATTGTTCCTAAAAGCACACACTGTAGCCGGGTGGCGGCGGCACACGCCTTCAATCCCAGCACTCTGGAGGCAGAGACAGGTGGGTCTCTGTGTGTAACAGCCCTGGCTGTCCTGGAACTCAGAGAAACCCTGTCTTGTCTGAGTAAACAGCCTACGAGTATATGCAAGGGTGGCTGGTGGGATCCCATCAGGACACAAGCTGGACACAGGAGCCACTATCAAGGCAAAAGACGCGAGCCTGCGAGTGAAGATAAGCAGGGGCCGAGGTAGGAGCTTCGGCCTCCCCCTGAGTGTCCTGTGAGACAGGCTAGTGCAGCCTAGGCTGGCTTTGGAACTTGATATGTAAGACTGGCTTAAAACTTTTGGTGTAAGGTGGTAGTGGCACACGCCTTCAGTCCCAACACTTGGTGGAGATCAAGGACAGTCTGTCTGGTCTACAGAGTGAGTTCCAGGACAGCTAAGGCTGCACAGAAAACCTTGTCTTGAAAAATACAACAAATACAAAATGCACTCTTTAGAGTTTAAAACAAAACAAAACAACTCATGTATGCATGAGCACAGGTGCAGGTGTTCAAAGAGGCCAGTGTGGGCCCTAAGGTTGGAGTAACGGGGTTGTGAGGCACCAAGTGCTCCAGCTCAGGGATTTGGTTTCTGACTCACCCTTCCTAGAAGCTGTTCTATCTGCCACGCCATCTTTTAGATATTCAAAGAAACAAGTGCCTATGAAGCTTTGACCAGGACAAGGCTTTTCAGAAGGTCGAGAAATTAAGAACACGTTACTGACGGGGAGGATAAAACCGACTCAGAGGGAGGGGCTGCAACCTGACAGGAATTGGATGCAGGCTCAGGAGGCAGTTGTGGCCGCTTAAACCCCCACGCTCTGCATTCATTCATGTTTTTGAGACAGGGTTTCTCCGTAGCTATAGAGCCAGTCCTGAAACTTGCACTGTAGATCAGGCTGGCTTCGAACTCACAGAGATCCGCTTGCCCTGCCTCCCAAGTGCTGGGATTAAAGACGTGTACTACCATGGCATGGCCAGAACAGTTCATTTAAAGTCTTAGTGTCACCAAAATTGTGTGGCGGGGCTATGAAACCTGAACATTAACTTTGTTCTCTCTCTCTCTCTCTCTTTTTTTTTTTTTGGTTTTTAAGACAGGGTTTCTCTGTGTAGCCCTGACTGCCCTGAAACTCACTCTGTAGACCAGGCTGGCCTTGAACTTGGAGATCTACTGCCTTGGCCCCCCAACTGCTGAGATTAATGGTGTGTCACCACTGCCTAGCCTTTTTTTTTTGTTTTTCTTTCTTCTTTCTTTCTTTCTTTTTTCTTTTTCTTTTCTTTTTTTTAAGAAAAATACAGTTCATTTCAGGCTTACAGTAACTTTCAGAGGCACCTCCCCAATATCCCCACCCCAGCCTCCCATGGAGCAACTCTTTACCCTGCCCAGAACTTGCATCCTCCTGTGAATGCTCCCACCCTGAATACTTCTGAGTTTGGAGGACTTGACTAAGTGGTGAACTTGAGAAAGTTGGGCTGTTTAAAGTCCATGGATGAGGCTTAAGGCCTTAATAACATAACACCTTCTTGTTTAATCCATGACTTAACCTTGGAATTGGCCTTCTGAGAGCTGAGCTTCAGAGTTCAGTGAAAGAATAGTTTTTGCACCCACCCCACCCCCAGTAACCTTGGACTTTGGACAAACCATATGGAAACCATATGGAAAGACCATAGCAGTGCCTAGCCTTTTTTATTTTTATTCTTTTAAATCAGAGCCTCATGTAGTCCAGGCTGGCTTCAAAAATCTAGCTACCACAAGCATCAGATATGTAGATATCTAAGGCCAACCTTGAACTTAGGACCTCTTGACTCAAACCCCCAGGCACACGCTACTACATCTAGCTTCTGCAGTGCTGGTGTTGTATATGCTAGGCAAGCACTCTATCAACTATACCCCTCAGCTGGCCTTAAAGGAAAGAAAAAGACCACAAGACCAAAACTCAGAAGAAAATGAGGCAGAACGTAGGGTCTTGGTTGAGTGTACGTACATCAAGAAAGTCTGCTTTCCTATAGCAGCAGTTCTCAACTTGTCACTGCTCCTACAGAGATCCTGCATAGCAGACATTCACATTACAATTCCTAACAGTAACAAAGTTATGAAGTAGAAAATAATTTATAGTTGGGCGTTAGCACACATGAGCACCGTACTGAAGGGTCCAGCAGCAGGCAGGTGAGAACCACTGCTCTACTGACAGAGGAGTGAGCACACTTTAGTACCTGAGACTCATCCAACCAGACCTCACAGGAGGAAGGGAAGGTGGACTGCTCAGCACTGAAGCCCCCCGCAGGCTGGTGCTGCTCAACGAAGGCTCTGTGGGCACAGCCTACATTCACATGGAGGTCAGTCAGGAACTACACGGAGCCTCCTGTCGCCCTGCTCGTTCTATCCAGGCAGTGATTTAAGGACCGAACTCTCTCCTGTCGCTTTTGAGACACGGTCTCTCTGCAGCACTGGTTATTCTCCCCTGCCTGTGCCTCCTGAGTGCAGGGATTAAGACATGCACCACTGTGCCTGATTTACTAGCAAAGGTTTTGAGCAGGAAAGTGACCTATCTTTAGATAATGCCAAGGGCACCCACTCCCACAGACTGCTTAGCCTTCAACCTTTTTACACCTGCATTTTTTAAAGATTTATTTTTATTTTTAATCATGTAGATATAGGCATGTCTGCCGTACCTGGGGAGTGGTGTGCCCGAGGAAGCTAGAGACAGTGGATCCTTTGGAGCAAAAGTTCTAGGCAGTTGTGATCTATTGGACATAGGTGCTCAGAGTCCAACTCAGACCCTCTGTGTGGTGGGTTGAGTCAGAATGTCCCCCATTTCCTCGTTTATTTGGATTCTTGGTCTCCAGTTAATGAAACTGGGCAGGACTAGAAGGTGTTGTCACTTGGGGTGGGCTCTGAGGTTTCAAAAGCCCATGCTGGGGGGCTGGAGAGATGGCTCAGTAGTTAAGAACATTGCCTGCTCTTCCAAAGGTCATGAGTTCAATTCCCAGCAACCACACGGTGGCTCACAACCATCTGTAATGAGGTCTGGTGCCCTCTTCTGGCCTGCACACACACACACAGACAGAATATTGTATACATAATAAATAAATATTTTTTAAAAAAGCCCATGCTGGGCCCAGTTTTGCTCTCTCTGCCTCCAAATTATAGTTCAAATGTGAGTTCTTAGCTATAGCCCCAGCACCATGCCTGCCTGCTGTCTGCCACACTCCCCACCATGATGGTAATGAATTAATCTTCTCAAACTGTAAGCAAGTACCCAATTAAATTCTTCCTTTATATACTGCTTTAGACACGATATCTCTTCACAGCAACAGAACAGTGACGATGACACTTTGGAAAAGTCATTTATTCAATTCATGTTCTTAGCTGTTGAACCAGCATTTTCTCTTTAGGCCCCTGCATTCTCAAATGCCATCAGCTAAATCTAAAGGTTAAAACCTAGGAGAAAAGTTATGGACTTTTCTGTAATGCAAATACACCGAGCTGTGACGGCCACCGTAGAGTTCAAAGACATCCTGGGAGAAAGGTCAGGCCTAGACATACCTACCTGGAGGGCTACCTGTAGCCATGAATAAGCAACTCAGGAGAGACATGGAGTCTGGGGGTCTAAGCATAAGTTGGTCATAAGGGGATGGTCACACTCAGGGAATGGAATAAGACATGGTTCAGAAAAGAAGAAAGCGCCAAAGCTGTAGTGAGGCCCAGGAAGACTCGGAAGAAGTCAGGCCACAGCTTTGGTAGAAGGGAAAGCAACGATAAAAGCTGAAAATGACACATGGAGCCGGATCCTAAGAGGCCCGTAGGAGAAGACAAGGGCTTTGGAAATGGGCAACTCCAGTAGTGAAGGCAGCAAATAAATATTTATTTGAGAAATAAGGCAAGGCAGTATACAAAAGTACAGTAGAAGCAGGGCTGAGCTCAGGTCTAAGAGACAACAATCTCAGACTACCAAGAATGGCAAATTGACCTTCAACATGGACACCACAGGAAGTGAGGGTTGGTCCCTGAGAGAGGGGTAGCTACTACCCTAAGATGAACACAGGTCTGGTTCCTTTTGTAACTAGGATCAGAGCAGACCCACACTACAGTTAGGGTAATACTATATTGCTGAGGCATAACGAGTAAAAGAATACAGAAGTACTTCTTTATTATAATACCCATGCAGACCGTGCCACTAGTGTCAAAACTTTAGCAGTTTCCCAACAAAATTCTATGTGGCTGAAACTGCATTTTTCTTCTTAAAAATTTTTTTAAAAAGATTTATTTATTTATTATGTATACAGTATTCTCAGTACTCTGCCTGCAGGCCAGAAGAGGGCACAGATCTCATTACAGGTGGTTGTGAGCCACCATGTGGTTGCTGGGAATTGAACTCAGGACCTTTGGAAGAGCAGGCAATGCTCTTAACCACTGAGCCATCTCTCCAGCCCTCTTCTTAAAATTTTTAAGTACTCGAGACCTAAGAAAATGAATTACAGGTCATTTCTGCTTTAAGTAAAAACTCAGTAATACTCCAGAGGGGCCTGGGGAGGATGAGAAACATATTTAACACACAGCCCCCAGTATCCCTGTGGCATAAGCCTTGTACAACTAACGGGGAAGATAAACCTATGCATCCAAGCTCCCCTAACGTACTTTTACTGCATTGCTGGCAGGTGCATTCTGGATGCACTGGTGATTCGGGTGCTCTGCGTCCTGTGCAGATGAGCGCATCAGCACCTAACATGAGGGCTCCAGTGCCATCATCTGTGCAGGAGGAGCAGACACGCTGCTATACCTCAGCTTTTCTTACACTGTGTACTGCTTTCTGCGCCTACACTTTTTTCCAGGCAAGTTCTCAAACACAGACCAAGGTGAAGAGGCCAGCCAGGGGCCGTGAGTACAAGGGCAGTTGCAGAACACACTGAAGAGGATCAAGTTTTACAGGTCCTTATTTTCCTTTTAATCCAACTCCAATCCCAGTATGCAAGTGGTCCTAAGTGTCTGGGATTAAAGGTGCATGCCTTAAATGGCCAACTAAAAGTACACGCCACCTTACCTTTAATTTTTTGCTTGTATTCTTCTGGTCGGTGGAGGTACATGGCTGCAGCATCACCATTGAGAGGATCTATGGGGTTAGGATAGGCCAACAACTGGGGCAGGAAGGACTCAAATATATTGGTAAGATCTGAGGGAAAAAAAAAACAACAGAAACAGTTCATTCCTAGGAACATGCAATTTTACCTAATGAACTGGAGTTCAGTAGTCAAGAATGGTAACTTAAAAATTTTATTTTTATCTATGTGTATGTGCTTTAAGCTGCATTAATTTATGTGCATCACGTTCGTGCAGGTGCCCATAAAGATAAGGAGTGTTGGATATACCAAAGTTCAGTTCTCTACAAGAGCATCAAGCAGTCTTTTTAAATTTTATTTATTCATTGTGCCTTTCACACCATGCTCTCGATCCCACTCATCCTGTCCTCTAAAATCAGACCCCCTAAAGTAAAACAAAATAAAAAAAATCATTGGTTTGGTTTGAGGCTTCTGGTCTGTGCACTCACAGGGACTCTTCGGGCCTGTGTAAGCCCTGGGTCTGCAGGCCCACCCCTCCCTCCATGCTCCAGCAGATCACAGATGGGGTGAATACTGGGAGGAGCTAACACATAACCCTGGTTCTGGGCCTGGTAGCTGCAGGGTTGGTCAGCCTGCCAGCTCTCCCATCTTCGCCGCCAGGGTGAGCTCTCTCCTGCATTCCCTGGCTAGTTCACCCCCTTGCAGCCATGACACCAGCCTGGTCTACAGAGCAAGTTCTAGAACAGCCAGGACTGTCACACAGAAAAACCCTGTCTCCAAGGAGAGGGGAGGAGAGAAGGAAAAAAAAAAGGCATAAACATATACAACCACTTATAACCATAGATAACTAGACAGATAAACAACCCACTGGTAACATTAACCCTTGTCTTACTAGCATACCCACATGATGTCTGTACATAGCAAAACAAAAGCCCAGTTACCTAGTGCTTTATAAAGGAAGAGGCACAGTCTGCACTTCCCCAACTTCAGAGATGATGTGGTTTCTATTGGCAGGGCCTCAGCCTGTCAACAGGGAACTTCAGACCCAAGTGCCTCCATTCCTCCTCCCACTCCAACTACCCTGCATATACACACCCCTGTCCCCGAAGGGAACACCCAAGGAACAAAAACTATTCCCTTGTTCTTACTGTGACTGCCTACATGCATGTTTTGCCAAGCCTCACAACCTGAGATTTTGTGGTTCCCCACGGAACGAACCTAGGAATATATGGAAATATTTCTGGTCACCCCAATAGGGTGGGTTGCTACTGACATCTACTGGGTAAGAACCAAGAACCAAAGATGATGTTAAAGTGTTATAATACTTTAATAATTCACAACAAGAATGTCTGAAGGAAACGGACATTTATGGCAAGGTTGAAGAAGCCTATGTTACATATAAAAAAAGGGATTGTCAAACCGGGCAGTGGTGGTGCACACCTTTAATTCCAACACTCGGTAGGCAGATCTGTGAGTTCTAAGCCAGCCTGGTCTACAAGTCTACAAGAGCTAGTTCCAGGACAGGCTCCAAATCAGCAGAGAAACCCTGTTTCAACCAAAATAAACTGTTTAGTAGACCTCTGCCGCTGTGGCACTATGTAGCTAAAGGTAAACAACACAAATGGGCATGTTTATGCTACAGTGAAGTTTTATATAGAAACTGCCAACCCAGCTCTAGAAAAATCTCCACAAAGCAAGGGATGTAGAGCAGTGGTAGAGGGCTCACTTATCATGCCCAAAGCCCTAGGTACATTCCCCACCATGAAAGAAAGAAAGAGAGAGAGAGAGAGAGAGAGAGAGAGAGAGAGAGAGAGAGAGAGGAGTAGAAAACCTTTTAGACCGCAGGTTCTTTCTGTATTATATTCAGTTGTGCTTCAAGAGAACATTATGGAGTTAAAAATGTGCTATCTCTGTACTGCTCAAAACATCTGCCACGAATCACATGTGTCTGCTAAAGATACGGTGAGTGTACCAGGAAATAAGTTTTTCATTTTATTTAAGCATAATTTTGAACACCCATACATGGGCAGTAAGCAGATCCTGTACCAGGTCTGGGTAGCTTGCTCAGCCTGCTCTCAGAGTGGCTCCATCCCGAATGTGAAGACACGCCTCAGGTTTCCACCTCGGCTTTTCAAAGGCTGGCTGTCTTCACAACAATCCCATGGAAACAAATTACAGTAAAATCGCACAGCAGGACGTATGTGCTAAAATTTTAACCAAGAAGACAAAACAAAACACGTTCCTCCTAAGACTTTCATTATCATTTATAATGAAAAAAAAAATCTAGGCTGGATGTGGCAACGCGCTTGTTTAATCCCAGCATTAAGGATGCTGGGGCAGGGAGTCTCTGTGAGTTCAAGGACAACCTGGGCTACAAATTGAGTTCCAGGACAGCTAGAGCTGTTATACAGAGAAACCTAGTCTCAAAAATTCAAAACAAATAACCCAAGCGGACCTCAAATTCTTGCTCCTCCTTCCTCAGCACCCCTAGCTGCTGGGATTATAGCTGTGACCTAGCACATCTGGTTTGGTCGGAGGCACTTTAAGCTCAGGTGAGTGCCGCACTTGGTACCACTGCCAAATCCATTTTAGTCTAACTGTAACTTGCCCAAGAGGCTGGATTCCCACCCTGCTGCCTGTCAATGGTTGAAACATACTGTTTCGCAAACTCCATGTCTGCAACAAAACTGCAGAGTTCAGGGGAGCCATGCATGCCTAGAGACAGGCTGGCCTCTCTCCAGAGTTTCCCCTTCTCACAAGTACGAGGCCAGCAGAATGGACTTTGACAGAGAATGTCTAGGCTGCCTCTGCAGCTACTTCACAGTAGCAATGTGTTTATTCTCAAGTCCCTCGGCACAGCAAATAGCCCATGCTGCTCACAGAGAGCTAGGGACATCCACTGCCACGTTTTTATGACAGGAGCTGCTGAAACATTCCCACCAAACAACAACAAAACCTTGTTCTCTTTGATGTTCAGAAGGGTTTTTGGGCTAGAGAAATACTGCAGACCGCCTATTATATAACCAGGTTTGGCAATGTCCCAGAAGGAGATTTAACAAACTTTCCTACTACTTTTAAGTTTCCTCAAGCTACCAATAAGTAGCTCTGCCAATGTGTTTGCTCCAAACAGATAAAAGATCCCTTAATTATTGGTTCTTCCTTCCTGCGTTAACACAGTTCTGCTCCATTGTTACAGATGGGCTGAGTCACACCTGTAAAGCAGAAAAGCAACAAAGGAGAAGTTCACCTTAGCTGTGGGTGGAGATGACACCCCCTTTGGGCACCAGTGACAACATGAGCTGCGCAGACTCTCCATTCCAGCTAAGACACGAATGGGGCTTGGTATGGAACTCAGTAACAGAGCACTAGGAAGACTCTGGCACCAAAACAAACAAACAAACAAAAAACCCAAAACACTGGCACTGGTAGAGAAGATACAAATTACAAACTAAGATATAAAGACAGTGAGCTAGGCAGTGGTGGCGCACTTGAATCCCAGCACCTGGGAGGAGGAAGCAGAGGCAGTGGATCTCTTAAGTTCAAGGACAGAGTGAGTTCCAGGGCAGACAGAGCTACACAGAGAAACCCTGCATGAAAAACAAGCATAAGTGGGACTGGAGAGATGGCTCAGTGGTCCTGAGTTCAATCCCCCTCGACCACACGGTAGCTCACAACCATCTGTAATGAGATCTGGTGCCCTCTTCTGGCCTGCACGCATATATGCAGGCAGAAAACTATGCATAACAAGTAAATAAATCTTAAAAACAAATAAGTAGATAAATAAATAAAAGAAATAATGACAGACATCTTAGGAAAAATTCACAATGAACTCTGTAGCCTGGTCTGGCACCAAACTCCTGAATGTCGGGACTGTGAACATCCTTTCTCAGAATGAATTTCTTTCCTAGAATATTTTTTCAGAGTATTAGTTTAAAAAATCTTTAGAGGCTTCTTCATACATGCTACAAGTCTGTATACACACACAGTCAGGGAATTCTAGTCCATGTAGGAAGGAGTGGCTCACTGCCAAACATCTGTGTGTGCTGCTGAAGAGTCTCTAGCCAACAAGCCTTCCAGAGCCTTTTTTCCCTACTTAGCCCTGGCCGGCCTGGGCAGAAATGGCTGTCTCTACCTCTAGAGCACTAGAGATTAAAAGGTGCGCGCCACATGTCTGGCTCTTGAACCCCTTTCATCACATTTTCCTGAATATTGTGGCCACTACCTCCTCCAGGAGAGGTATTCTAAAACACAGGCAAGACTATGGATCTATTTTAGAAGCATTGAGGGGCTGCCTCAGGAGAATACATAGGAGTAACTGTCACCAAATGCACTGTGGACATCTGGCTTTGTAAATTCCTTTAGGTTGTACTACCTTCATCAAAAGAGATATTTGCTCCTCAATAATGAAAAGTGGATGAACGTAGTGATATTTTGTTTGTGATCTAATAAAGTTTGTCTGAAGATCAGAGTGCAGAGATAAGCCACTAATTAGCCATGGAGGCCAGGCAATGGTGGTACACACCTTTAATCCCAGCACTAGGGAGACGGAGAGGCAGACAGATCTCTCTGAGTTCAAGGTCTGGCTAAAAGAGAAACAGTGCTCACGCGAAGGTGATGCCAGCACTCGTGATCACACACCTTTAATCCTAGTACTACGAGGTGGAGGCAGGAGCGATGTGGCTGGGGAGGGAGAGGAATATATGGTGGGAGGAGACAGAAGCTCAAATGCAGTCTGAGGATTCAGTCTAAGGATTTGTGGAGACAGGGATCACCGTTTCAGTCTTAGGTTGAGGTAAGAGCTAGTGGCTGGCTGTTCTGCTTCTCTGATCTTCAACACTAACCCTTATATCTGGCTCTGGGTTTTTATTACTGACACCAATTATAATTTGTACTACAGAAAGCCTCAAGTCTAATCTTAGGCCCCCACTAACTTGCTCATTGATCTTCTAATTCTCTCCTCTCCGCACTCAACTTCTTCACCTGTAAAAAGAGAAGTATAATACTGCTGTTCTTCATCAGGATGTTTCACACAGTACTAAAATAACTATAAAACACATTTCAGACTAAAGGACTAGCCTAAAATATTCACGTGAATGTGCTGTTTCATCGGAGT